TAGTTTCTTCATATAAGGGAAAACATGGATCCTTTATCTTTCTGGGCCTGACTTACTTCACTTAACATTTTTTCCCAAGTCTTTCCATTTCTTTACATTCTACATGAATGGTATTGTATCATTCTTTCTAATGAATGAGTACCCATTGTGTATGTATACAACATTTTCTTGATCTAGTCCATTGAGGAACATCTGGGCTGATTCCATACTTTCACCATAGTGAATAGTGTTGCAATAAACATCACTTCCCAAATGGATTAAAGATCTCAATATAAGACCTGATACCATGAAACTATTACAGGAAAGAATAGGGGGAACATTAGGGCTCCTGGGCAGAGGTAGAGACTTTTTGAGTAAAGATCCAGAAGCACAACAAATCAAAGAAAAAGACTTGATAGATAGCACTGTGTCAAACTAAAAAGTTTCTGCACAGCAAAGGACATACGCAACAAGCTAAAAAGCCTACATATAGAATGGGAGATTTTTGTGAGCTATATGGCAGACAATGGACTAATACCCCCAAAATAGTCATCCCTCGCTAATCACGGTTCACATAGTGCTGCTTCACTACACCGTGGAGTTTTGTTGTTGTTGTTGTTTTATTGTTTTGCTGGTCCAGGGGCTTCAATTCAAAGCCTAGACTCCCACTTGAGCCACAGCAACACTTCTGGCTTTTTCTGAGTAGTTTATTGTAGATAAGAGTCTAAGGATTTTCCTGTCTGATGCTCAGATTTCAGCCTCCTGAGTAGCTAGGATTATAGGCATGAGCCACCAGCACCTAGCTCCTTTATCTTTTTACCACTAGATTCTACATGTGGGGGAGAATATGCAGTATTTGTCTTTCTTAGTCCAATTTAATATGCTTAACATGATGTTTTTCAGTTCCATTCATCTTGAAAATGATATAATTTGCACCGGTGGCTTATGCCTGTGATCCTAGCTACTCAGGAGGCTGAGATCTGAGGATTGTGGTTCAAATCCAGCCCAGCCCGAGTAGGGAAGTCCATGAGACTCTTATCTCCAATAAACTACTCAGAAAACTGGAAATGGTGCTGTGGCACAAGTGGTAGAGTGCTAACCTTGACCTCAAGAGCTGAGGGACAGTGCCCAGGCCCAAAGTTCAATCCCCATGACTGAAAAAAAGAAAAGAACATAATATTCATTTTTCTTTAGGGCTGAAAAATACTCTATTGTGTATATGTGCCACATTTTCTTTGTCGATTCATCAGTTAATAGACACCTAAGCTGATTCCATAGTCAAATTAAGTAAATTTTTACTACTCTGTTCACAAGTTCACAGATTCTATTTTCGTTCACATCTAGTTCATTATTTAGCCCATCTTACTAGTTTTTTAATTGAGATTATTATATTATAATTTTCATATGCTTTTAAAAGTTATAATTTATTTCCTGAAGTTTTTTATGGTTTCAGATAAACATAATTGCTTTGTGAGGATCTTTTTATGATGGCTGCTTTAAAGTCCTTCTCAGATCTTGATTCATCTTGTATTAGTGTGATTTGATTGTCTTTCCTCATTTGAGTTGTGATTTTTCTTGTTCTATTATCATGAGTGATTTCTATTGTACTAGAATTCTTTGATATTATGTTTGGAGACTCAAATATTTTCTGTGTGCCACTACTGGGGCTTGAACTCAGGGCCTGGGTTATGTAACTTAGCTTTTTTTTGCTTAAGGCTTATGCTGTACCTCTGGAGCCACAGCTCCACTTCTAGATTTTTGATGATTAATTGGAGATAAAAGGGAAATGTACTCATCACCTTGCTCATGTAATTGTAACCCCTCTGTATGGTGTTTTCACAATAAAAACCTTATCTAAAAAATAAAAAGAGTCTCCCAGCTGTGCACTGGTTGCTGATGCTTGTAATCCTAGCTACTCAGAGGTTGAGATCTGAGGATCAGGGTTCAAAGCCAGCTTGGATAGGAAAGTCTAGTAAAGTCCGTGAAACTCTTATCTCCAGTAAACCACTCAGAAAGCCGTAAGTGGCACTGTCTCTCAAGTGGCTGTGGCTCAAGTGGTAGAGTACTAGCTTTGAGCTGAAGAGCTGAGGGACAACACCCAGGTCCAGAGTTCAAGCCCCAGGACTGACAAAAATAAAAGAGTCTCACAGACTTTCCTGTCTGGGCTGGCTTCAAACCACAGTCCTCAGATCTCAATCTCCTAAGTATCTGGAATTACAGGCTTGAGCCACCAGTGCCCGGCTAAGACTCAAATATACTTAAATCTTCTTTTTTAGCTTTATCCATTTCTGCTTAGTTTTCTCGCTCTGGTTTATCTTATACTTGGTCTCTGCTGGTGCTACCTATAGAGTTAAAAGTGTTTCCTGATGCTGGCAAATGTTGTTAGATGAGGGATAAGGGGTGCTGATGTCCTTTATATCTGTCACTGCTGGTTCTTCTAGCGTATATGAATACTTACTTGGCCACTGTCAAGAAGAATGCTAGGAGTTTTGAGGTCTATATAACTCTCTGCCACTGGGTAGATGACCAGTACATAATGGCCTAGATTGCTATCTTCTCTTTGGTGAAGAAGGATCAGGAGATTCCTGGCTTGTATCTTTTACTCTTCTTAGTGGAGCCCCAGTAGTTTCCTAGGTCTGAGAGGTTTTGTGCTGTCAGGTGAAAACTTGTAGATGCTGGCCCTTAGTCATTGTCTGCTGCTAAATTAAGGGCTAGGAAATAATAGGCCTGCTGGCATCCCCTATATGAATGCCAACCACCCCCCTCTTGCTGTTGTCTGGTGATGAATGAGGATTTATCAATCTGCTTCAGGTTCCTTGTTACTCTTACGGGAAAATCAACCCTATACCTATTGCTTAGCTGTGGTAGGTGGGATTGCCACTCTTTTTTTTTTGGAGGAGGGAGGGGTTCCGGTTGTGGGGCCTGAACTCTGGGCCTGGGCACTATCCTTCAGCTCTTCAGCTCAAGGCTAGCACTCTACCACTTGAGCCACGGCACCACTTCAGGCTTTTTTCTTTTTGCTTATGTGGTGCTGAGGAATCAAACCCAGGGCCTCATGCATGCAAGGCAAGCGCTCTACCACTGAGCCACCTTCTCAGCCCCAGCCACTCTTGATCTGCTGATTGACCTCACTGCTGCTGTTTTGTCTAAGGGGTGGTGTGAATCAGGTTATTCTTTCTGTGTGCACATCAGGCCTATTATTAGCCCAGCTTTCATTGTAGTTATCGCCCCAAGTTTGCAACACTTTGTTGCAAAAGTTATTGCCTGTAGTTTGTGTGAGTTCTTTCTATTGCACAAATTGTTGCTAGTACAGAGAGATTTTGCTAACTGCTGTTACCCATGGGTGGTATGGGGTGATGAGGCCCACCTGTTTCTACTGTTGCTAGTGGACAGGACTGAAGAGGGATTGAAATAATCAAGGGAGGTAGAAAAATATAACTAGAGTCATAGTACATGGAAGACCCCAACTCATGCAGAGGAGCTCCAATGTGCTATGGATTCAAGCTACAGAATCAGTCTTGACCAATTCACAGCAGATTTGATGTCTTGTTTCAAGGAATCTAACCTTTTAGAGAATGTGGATCCATCATACAGGGTTTAACTGGGTAGGAAAATGACTTTTGTTAGTTTTCACCCAAAGTCTCTTTTTGTTGCCACCAGTAGCACTGCATAGATGATGGGGTCAGTAATTTTTTTAAATTATTTTCCAACACGATTGATATTTGCCTTTTTAGTGGAAAATGAGTCATTGGCTTATCTGCTTGGAATGGCACTATAGTAAGTAGTAGTTTTATATTCATGACTGTAAGTTCAATAATAATGCTTGCTTGTTAAGACAACAGAAACAAAAGAATGTTAAGTGTTAAATTTATTAAGTGGTATGGGGTGGCTCATGCCTGTGATCCTAGCTACTCAGGAGACTGAGATCTGAGGATCACAGTTCAAAGCCAGCCCAAACAGGAAAGTCTATGAGACTCTTATCTCTATAATTAAATACACACACACACACACACACACACACACACACACAC